GCCAGTAAGCTGTCAGCTCTCCAGTCAACAAAACCAGCCTCAGACAAAAAAAAAAAAAAAAACACACACACAACAACTCAAAAAAGCCAGCCTCTCCTCCAGTTGTTGATGCTGCTCTCCATCTTCTGTGCCATATATACTGTGTCAGTGTATTTAAACTGTGTATATTTCTTAAGTCCCTGCATGCGTCTCCCTTTATTACCTCAATTCTTAGGGGAAAAAATTGTTTCACTATACCAACTACCACAAAGCACTGCAATTTCCAGGAATGCATCCTCAACAGACGACAGGGTGTCCCATCCTAGGATAAACGGACCACAAAAAAGCAAATACTTCTAAAAAGGTAGAATTCAGTGACTGTGCTAAGGAACAAAGCATTTTCTCCCATGTTTTGAGTTCTACCTGACAGACTAGCACCACCTTAAAAAAGTTTGAGGTTGAAGAGAAAAATTCTAGCTTCTCTAGTACAGAGGAAAATTGACAAAAATCTTCTTACAAAGAAAAATAAAAATGAAAAATAATGTGTTTGCAGTTGTGGTTTGTATGGACTAAGACAACTATGCTAGCTTTCAGAGCAAAGGAGTAGTAGCAATCAAAGGACAGAACATGAACCTGGTCTACCACTACCTGCTTTTGCAAACTACGTAGCTTCTCTACAAACATGTGAATCAAGTCTTTCTTCATCCTAGACAATAAAGAAATGGTAACTGAAGACCACTGTTTTTTCATTACTCAAGTTCTTCTATTTACATTTGTCATGTAATCCTGCTGTGTTCCTTATGCGTGCCAGTAAGCTTCTTGTCTTTGCCCTGAACTTCCTGTGAGACAATTGAACAAGCACATACTACAGAGGTACAGCACTTGTTTTTTCCTTTAATGCTTTAGGCGTTCTCCATTCCTTATGCAGCTTGGGGTGGGGGTGAGAGGAGAGAATGTTATCCTCCTTTTGCCAGCATTTATTTTACCACATTAATAACTCCCTAAGCCTATTTACTCCCAGCAGTTTTTTTCTTAAGCATAGTGTTGTTTACAACTAATTTGAAATATTTTATCAGTGGAAAAATCTTCACTGTTTCTCTAATCTCTGAGCACTCCTTTTTTGGCCTTTTCTCAGGCATTCTGGAGCTTTCGGACTTGCTTTGTTTGTAGTAGTAGAAAGCTATCCCTATTGACGACTGTTTCTCCTCTGGTGTACCTCCTCATTTTAAATAAGTTCGAAAAGGAGAACAGATCACACCTTCAAGTCATATCACTCTGGCATAATGTGTAAAAGACACAGAAACAAAGAAAACTACGGGTTGCAAGAGGTTATCTAGCCTATAGTTAGCTACCTATGACATGAGACCAGCGATAGCACAGGGACACATTTTGACCTGCATGCTTCACAGCTGGAAGCTATGCCATCTTAAGGCAGGCACATCTTAAGGCAGACACAACTGTCTTAAAGAGACAGCTAGTATCAACTGATCAGCTTTTCAGCATCTGGGCTCATTTAGAGGTAGTATCTCCCAATTCCCAAATTTGTTTTACCTTAGGAAATAAAAATACAGCTGGGTACTGTAACCTTGGAAGTTTGCCATTCTCTGATCTAGATTTTGCTCTGCAAGGCAGGATCAGTTGTCCTTAAGCCCCTTCTGGTCACACAATTGTCTAATTTGTTCTTAATCTCCAGCAACCAAGACTCCATAGTCTCTTCCAGTGATTCACTGTTGCAAAGTTTTTCCCACCTGGCACCAGTAACTACTCAAGAGAGGCAGTAGGAGAACCAAGGAGGCATGACTCCTGAGCTACTAAGTGTAGTTGGTAGATGTATGCCTTTCTGCCTCGCCTTTTGTTTCCTTTTGGGCAAGGTGGGCCACGTTTCCCCAACTGCAGGACATCTTGCTGCTTTTCCTTCACCTTTTGTTTCCTTTTGGGCAAGGTGGGCCACATGTTTCCCCAACTGTAGGACATCTTGCTGCTTTTCCTTCACATTCCACTATTGTTTCCTCCCTCATTGTCAGATTAGTTTACTAGTGGATGTCTGCTAATTGCTGTTTATAAACTGTTGCTGCTTCCAGTGACAACATCTACACTGTCAGCATAGCTTGCCTCATGTCACTTAGTGGTCCAGTTTCCTCCATCTTCCACACTGCCCTGGTGCTGAAATACTGCCCAGATTGCTTACAGAGCAGCACTACAAATTCTTT